CATAAGTACCCCAATACTGGGGAAATTGGCGAGGGATGATCCATGCTTAAACAACCATCAGCCATTCGAAGGCGGTTTAGTATAAACTACAGGTCCACCATTTGTTGGAAAAACATCGAGACGCAAAACTACAAATTGAAAGAAGAGCTCAGCCGAAAATCGCTCCAGCTGCAGCCGCTTCCTTGTTCATTAAACGAATAATCACTATTCAAATCTCGTCATATCCAAGTAATGGAACGTCTCTTCCATCGTTTTCTGATGTTCCATATTCAATGTCCTTCAGCAGGCTGGAGAAGAGTTCCCTCCTTAAATTCAATGAGCTCAGAGCATCATTTGCTAGATAACCTCTTTGTGCCCTGCCAGAGTCTATTGTGGTCGATCATAAGGTTTGTAGGCGGGCGACAAGATAGTGATCTGAGTCGAAATTAAGTCCTCGGAACATATACACATATAAAACATTGGATACAGCCAGGTAGCTTGGAAAATTTTGTTATGCTGTAAGTTAGTACTACAGGCAACCATATTTTGGGCCCAGGCGAAATCGATTATTTTCAAACCATTTGAGTAGGCTAAATTTTTTCAACAGTTGTGTCAAAAATATACTTTTTGATTATCTTAACATTAGAGTCGCCGAACACAAGTATGCTACGGTGGCTCATTAAAGACATACCTGGCCATATCATCTTTCATCTCCGCCGGGTCATAGGCTTAATTCAGCGATGTGTTGAAAAGCTGATGCCAGTACTCGGCGATGCAATCTCTCTCCCACCACAAATACGACAGAAAAGGTGTGCTCCTTTATATGGCCGTTATTGCATATTACAAAAGGATTCACCTTCTTTCGTCTTCATCTCGTTCACAGCACTACTTGGATGGCGGTGATGTAACGTGGCACTCAACACGTTACAATATTTGTACGACCAAATAGATATACCTACGCGCATTCATACGTACGAGCAGGCATTAAGACGACCACTTAAAGACGACTTGTATACATATATACAGATGCGACGACAAACTACCGGCCGTTGGAGTACCGTTTTCCACAACGACAAGTAAACATACAAAGATCGTATAACAACTGGGTGATCAAACGACGTCAATTATATTTCGCACTCTGCTACTGAAGCCATATTAGCAGGATCGAATCCTACCGTATAAATATCCGACTGCACTTTTAGCACTCCTACTCTGCCGCTGTCAAAGACTGCCCGCTCGCCACGCGCGGCTAAAGGCTATATAAACAGTATTTAGTACTCCTTCCTATTGCCTTATCTGCTCTCCATTACCCTTGCAGCTTCGAGACAGAGACAGTAACCCATCCTTTCTTAGTTCTGATCATCTCCTTCGTTATGTACTGTCTATATCTGTTATTTCATAGTAGTAAGCTTCGCTTCTGTGTTCCGGAACTTCGGCATCGATCTTATAATAACGCCGACGAAACCGCTACACCACATCCGGACAGTTAAGTTTTTAAGATACTTGAGTAGACTTGAGTAGAAGCATACAAGGGAGTAAGTTGATTTAGAACCGCCGAACCGATAAAATCGCACGAACGTTAAGGAGAGTTTCAACACATCGGCCCACGTGTACGAGACTGTACGAATTCACCGACCAGTGACTTCCTCTCACTTCGAGACACTCCGGGTGTCTGGGTTACAAACTCATCCGTGTTTTGATTAATAATTGGCTGGGGTCCCATTAGTGGACCCTGAAGCCGCTAGCATGCCTCAGCAAGGACAAAACCCCCTTTACAAGCATTTAATTTAACCAGGACATCAACCAGCTAGGCAGAGGCAAATTCCCAATTAAGGAACCGGACGTTACAGGTACATGCCGTCAAATCGTGATCTTTGAAAGTTTTCAGGAGTCGTCATCAAAAGAGATATTTTCGTTGTGTTTGTTGGAGAACGGTTGGTCTAAGATCCGAAGGCGTGAACTGCTTGAACCATATGCATAAAAATCGTTTCTGGCCACTACCAGGTGAATGACATTTAAAACTGTTCTTCATTACGTGAACTTTTTCATATATCCTCATGCTCCTTTAAGAACTTAGTTATGGGAAATCAGCGTGATAAAACAAATTTTTTTTTTAGTTTATTTCCGGATCTTATTCGCTGCTCCAGGACCTAACATCTTGTGAACCCGTTCACTTATCCATTAAAATGTGCACAATGCCTCTTTGAGGTTTATTCTTTTCACCTCGCCCAGAATGATTTGGCTATCTTCATGAATAGTCGGTTATTTCATCTTCGACTTCCGAGTCATCACTATTCCCTTGACGGTTCACCAACAGATCACTTTATGCAATATATTTTTATACTAGATTCTACTTTATTCCCATTTTCCTTGAAGATAACGTATATACTCAGCCTTATACTGAATATCTTCAGGCTATGCAGATACGAGCAAGAGATTCTTGTGACAGAATTGGAAAATAATCCACATCCAATAATCCATCTGTGCGAGAAGGCGTACATGGTATATTTAAAGCATGGAAAAAATTCAAGTGTTTCTTGTTTCATCATTTTAGCTACATATTTTATTTTCAAATATAAAGTGAAGAAAAATATGAACAACAAAAAAGAGTCAAAAGCAACCGGCGGAGGGGCTTACAAGTAGAAGGTATAGGCCCATCTTGAAGAATGTGTTACAAATTTATATATTTGGCGTAAATGATGATAACAATGAACCGCAGCCCAATATTAGCAAGAACCATGCGCCCACAGATTCAGAGAGAGTTCATGTAGTGCCAAACGAGGAATCTTCTCGAGTATTGTTCCATCAATAGTTGATGTGCTAATAGCCGGAAATTCGCGCAGCACAACTTCGACAACGATCGCTACAGCCTATGATGTGAATTGTGATGAACATTTAAATTTTTGTTCTCTTCTTCATCTATTATTCCATTTTTTTTAACCCTTTTATTGATTTACACAAACTTCACAGGTTGAATATATGATTCGAATATCGAAAATATACAAATAAACTGAAAATCCATAATTTCACAAATAAATTTCCCAAAACAGAAAATTTTCCGCGCACAGGATGTCCGCGTTTTCTCAATTCACAACGTTTTGTCTGAATATGACCATGAACATTGACGATAGTCAACGAAGGTGTAGACGATGTTCACCATAAAGCCGATTAAGATGAGGCTCAAGAAGCGTACCCTTAATTTACGTGATCGAAGGAGAAATGCATTGTTTGAACGCAGTTTTATAAGTTTTCCTTAAAAGATCTGAATTTTGCTCGAATCACTACTTTTAATGACAACCATTTTTTAAAAAGAGAGTTGTCTTACCCCTTTACAATACAATTTGTATTTTAATATAAATTTTAAACGACCTTTTTTGAATTCGAATATCTTAAATAAACACCGTTTTTGCGGTAATAAGTAAAATAAACATCAAATAGATGTAGAGCTCTTTGTTGAAAAATGTCGACATCTAAAAAAAAAATTCCAAATGGCCCACTTTTAGAGAGAAGCTTTTCCATAAGTTTATTTTTGTTTCTAATGTCAAACTTTGCTGATTAGGGTGTTTCCCTCTTCATGTCAATACCACTGTGTTAAAAGCCAATAATGCTTTTGCATGTTGCCAAAAGATGGCAAAAGAATTCAAAGACCTTTTGATAACTAAAGCAGTTTATACGACTTTGGTGAGGCCAATATTATTCCGATAACAAAAACAATTTTTCCGTTTTACATTAAGACATTTCCGCTAGTACTCTTCGATAAATCTTCCTCCCTTTCTTATCTGAAGTACACTTTAATCTTTCAACTCGTGTAGCTAGGCAGCTTAGGTCTTTACTATTAAAGTCATGTTAAACAAATTATGAAGTGAATGAACCTTTCCGCCCTCTGTGTCACAATTTTAATTTTCATTCAAACACCTTCGATCTCTCAGACTCAATTTTTAACATCAAAAAACTATTCTTACTTCTCACAACAATAAAATTTTAAAATTCCATATTTACTAAATTTCAGCTGTTGAATAATTATTTTTTCTGTAGCTGAGCAGTAAATCTCGACGCTTAACGCTTCCTAATCAATATCGGTTGGGCGGGTGGAGGGTATTCTTTGGGCTTATTATTATTAAAAAATGTGTTAACGTAAATTTGTCTACTGTAACATCAAAAAAGTTAAGTTGTGAACTTCAACACATACCTTTGGTTATTTTTTTTTATCATTTACCTCTCCAGAAACTAGAAAGCAATTAAATATTAAAGATATGTTATTGGGGAAATTACCTGCTGTGCTAAATTCACGAAGTCCTGAAATCTTGCGGCACGATAGTGCAACAGTACTTGAAACAAAGACTTTTCGCGCCATTTTTTAACATATACTCGAATATATTCTGCCGTCTGTTCGTTTATCTGACCCGTCTTCTCATTAACTAATGGCTGAAAACGCTGTCTTTCATGATACCCGCGATAAGCTGCAAATATAAATGATGTTAATGGTATATACATACATATAGCAAATAAAAAGTAGAATAAGTTTTGTTGCAAACGAAATTTGGATATATCTATTAGTGCCAAAGTAATAAGAATGACTGTTTTGTACCTTTTTTTTTTAGAAACAAATATACCTTTAGTTTTTTTCAATGAACGAGTCTTTGTAAGCGTGGTTGTTACAAAAAATCACCGAAATCTTTAACAGTCATGTTTAAGTTCATAAATGAATATCTTTACTGATATCTATTCTGCGTAGGTTATTTATACATACAAAGAAATTCGAGTAACTTTTTTTTATTATTATTCGTGCATTTTGATAAATCTAATTCTTGTGTATGTAGCTTGGTTCTGAGTATAACATAAATTCGAAAACAGCTTAAATGTTTGTATATTTAAACATTGCACTAAAAGAGCTAAAGTAAGTTAAGGAGTATCCTGTGTTTAATTCTGTTATTCTATTATGTAAATTTGGAATTTCTCTAATCGTCCTCCGTTTGCGTGGCCTGCTCCACTTCCGCCAAATGCACAGCTGCAAGCGCCTCTTCTTTGCGTGCAGTTTCAAAGAGCTCTTCCGCTTCGGATGGAGTTTCACTGGCATCAAAGTATTCAACTTCAAAATCTTTTTCGGCAAGTTCCTTATTACCTTTTTGTATTTTGGCGGCAGCCTCATCGTTGCGTGCGACTCCTTTCGCTGCAAGATATTAAAAATAAAAATAGTTGTAATTTTCCATAAAAAAGTTAGCGCATATTAATGAAATAAAATTATATATGCTTTTTGAGGCCATTATTCTGCTGAATTGTTTTTGGGTTTTTAGTTTTACGGAAATGTCTCAGACCATATGGTGGTTTCCGAAATAGCAGCCAGAACTTCTATCGTCAAAATTGCTGCTATAATTTCTTTACTATTTCCAAAAATATATTGCCTGAGAAAGTTCCATAAAACTAAATACAGAGAAATCAAATTATTTTCCTGCACCCTTGTCAACAAGAAGTGGGATAATCATCTAATATATAAAATTCTCGTGACACAGTGTTTGACACGATACTCGTCCGAGTCCGTCAGTGCATATTCAGTAGATCTGAGGATAACACAATATCTATTTTTCACACCTGGGACTGATCTATTCGAAAAATTTGCATTTAACTACTGTAGATCCCTTCATTTGTTGGAAAAACATCAAGGCGCAAAACCACAAATTGGAGGAGGAGCTCGGCCGAAAATCGCTTCAGCTGTCACAAAGCGCCTGTTATATATAGGTTTTACATAAAAAAATGTATTTATATAATTTATATGCATGATAAAAATTACGGCGGTTATTCGTTTGTATTAAAAGTAAATTATAAACTCGGTAAAATTTCATAAAAAGACAGAGAGATTTTCAATGTTTAAAAAAGTCTGTTAAAGGTACAAACATAGAACATAGATGCTCAATTTGTATAGAATACAAGGCTACGACAACCGTTGACGTCACCGAACCAACTTCGTCATATATACAATGGGCGATATTTGATATTTATATATATATGTAATTCGCAGAAGTGGCTTGTAAATCTTGGCATATTTAACATTCTTGTAAGAAAAATCAATGAAATCGAATTTGATGCCACGCTAACAAGAAGAGTTCACCTGAGGGGCGTGGTCACTGTGTGGCAGATAGAACATGATATCTCGATCGCTTAAAATGCGAAAACTAATTCAAAATGCTGAGGCAAATGTAAAGGTTTTCATTTTCCATCTGCCAACTATTTTGGAGTTAGCTGCACAAGAAACTGCTGTTAAATTGTCGTTGATTAATTATGCACTGAGAACATACATACATATTTAATCTTTTAATTACTTTCTTTTTTTACAAGGAAACTTAAAATTAACGAAGAATTAACCTTGGGTCTAAGGGCGTAATTGCTTTTATAAGGCCTGCTTCTTGGTTATATAATAATGTTAGTAAATTTAATATATATTTTCTGTAAAAACTGACTTGACTTCTCTAAATGCAACCAATGGATTAAGGATAGCCCAGACAGAATGGACAGCAACTACAAACATAATTTTTTAATCTTATATTTAATATTATACATCACTATTATCATTTTACCACGTTATTCATGCAAACAGTGGTTTAAAAATTAAGAACTTAAACTTTATAATATTAATTTATTCAATACCTTTTTTTGGATCCTTGCCCCCTTTCATGCGCTTTCTTGCTAGTAGAGCTCTCATCATTGATTGAACTTTAATCACTTTCTTCACTTGAATTTCATATAATCTGCAATATAAAAAATAAATATTATTGTAGCAAAAATGAAAAACTAATTGATATGCTAGTACCTAGACAAGAATTCATCATTGTAATATCGTAAAAATACTTTGGTTTTCCCAATCGCCCAACCCTCCATTTTTAAACGTATCATCAAAAGGCGGCAATTTTCCTTTGAAATATCAACGGTTTCGTCAAAATCGAAAGCTAGAAATTGATAACTACAAAGAGAAAAGAAAGAATTACTTATTGGTCATATACATATTCCAATTTTTTTCGTAATTTACTATAAGTTATGGCACAGCTACATATATACACATGTATATGCTTTTCCGGGTAATTCCAAAATAACTTTTATTGTATATAATTCTCTGTTACCTTGAAATTTGATACACAGCAGACTTTTATTAAAACACCCTAAATGATTATATTACATAATGGATGATATCAAATGCTATTAAATGTTTAAAGTGTTAAAATTAATTAAATTTAGAGCGTGATATTTAAATGAACATGAGATACAAATATTGTTAACAAATAATAATAATAATAATATTTTTTTTCTGTATTTTGTTCCCGAAATTTTAAAACGAATTTACAACTATACACCAGATGTTACCAAAGTCCAAAAATGAACTAAAGCAGAAACTGGGGTAGGCGCGGCTATAGCAGCTGGTAATCAAGACGAAAAATTAATCTGTGCTTTTTTATTCATAGCTGCTTATATAATTAACCCCTCCAATAATTTGTATTTTAATTATACTCTTTATTCCAATTAAAAAATATAATTTTATTCTTCCAATTATCGTTTTAGCTATAACTTTAATTCATTTATGATTTTTACACCAAACTGGATCAAATAATCCAATTCATAAAAATATGCCATTTTTGTTTTGAAATGTTTCTACTAATATTCCAAAAAATTCATACGAACCGTCTGAGGAATTCTTGAAATGTGATTCGACATGAATAGCCTCGCTGTCTTCCTACAACTGTATCGAGTACACCCAGAGCTTTCATTTGTTGTTGTACCATGTCAGCATGAAATGCGCGTGGCTTGTATTCCAAATCTGCTCTTATGCAGCGTACAAAGTGTACTCCGAGATTGTTGCTAAGGGTCAAAGTCTTAAGTAAGGTTAGACAAGTGAACCGAAAGTTTGCCGCTAAAGTTCGCAAATTATTCACTTGCGAAATACATCCGGCAGATAATGTGTTTAATGGCTGAAAAATTAATTCTGTTTATTGATTGATATTCTTGAATTATTACATGCATACATATGATTTTCTTTGGGAATCTTCTGGCTTGTGCTGGACGCTTTCGAATGGCATCGTTAGGTTTCCTGCCTTTGTAAGTTGATTAGTAAACATCATCATAATATTTTCATCCATCGATGATCGAAATGATTCTATCATTTCTGGTGGTACAAAGTCCCGATTGATGTCAGTAAAGGCTCGCGTATCGTATATAATACGCCCAGTATAATGAGCGACCGAAATTTCGGTAGCAGTGTGTTTCTTAACAAATTGGCTATGCCTCTCCACAACTCGATCTATTAATTCAATATATACATATAAATTTTATAACAAAATTTAGCTGAGCATAAAATAAAGCATACACATCGTAAAACATTTCCTTACCCATAATAAGATCTTGATCTTGACTAGTTCTAGAGGCATCATCGATGATGTAAAACAGCCCGTCCGGTTTGGTTAGCAAATTATCCAATGCCGTTTTGTTATCATAAAAATTTAAATTATCAGTGGGTATATCATCAGCTTCCTAACAGAAAAATATAAAAATATCAGTGAATGAACTCTGATATATGTATGTAAGAATGTATGTATGTATGTATTCGCAAATCTATATTTCCAAACAATTTATTTTTATTATATCCGATGTGTATCATTTAAGCGACCAACATCAAAAAAAATTTATAGAAAATTAATTTAAATAAAAGAATTAAGTTATTTTTTTTACTGCGGCCGCCCCTTGGCAGGGGATCTCAAACCCTCCTAGTATATTTCTGAGAGTACATAAAAAGTTCCTCAAAAAAATCCATCAGCCGGAGGTGGCTTCGCTGGAAAAAACTTTAAGACGCATACCACAAAATGGAGGAGGAGATCGGCCGCTTTATAGGATACAAATCGCCATTAATATAATACATATGTATATCATTTAACACTAAACGTACCGGCAGTTTTCTGTACTTAATCTTACCATAGCGGGTTATTTGCCCCTCATGAAATAAACATAGATTTTTTCATACAAAATTATTTATTTATTATGGAAAAAAATTTAAGCACCATTTCTGATTTCTTATAAAATTAAACACATATCTTTATTGTTATAAAAAACAATCAACTAATTTTATATAGGTAAATAGATTTCCCCTTCACACATTTCCCGCAAGTAAAATTTGTAAAATTCATGCAAGTTTGTCTGAGAGTTATTATTGGACCCTCTTGATATTCATTCCCGTTGATTTTAATTTTCTTTTTCACAGATCTTGGGGTGAAATTAGAGCGAATTTTTCGACACCTAAGTGTTGGATTCGAAAACAGGGAGGTCCCCAGAAATCGTAAAGCTTCTGGTTCTGTATGTTTCTTTATATTTACAATAATAGTATGACCTATTATCACGAAAAATGCGGATGAAACTATACCAGACACAATATATCTTTTGGCGTGTGGCGTTGGCCCATATATATCTCTGAAAGTAAGTCAACACTTTCCGACTGCCGGTTCTTCTCAAATTCGCTGCCAATCAGTTCCATCAACAGCCGTGACGGTGTTTTCAAAATCGTGTTCACTATCACTTTCAGAATCCGATAAAAGTCTTTGACGCCTCTGTCCTCTACGGAGATTCAAAAAAATATTTTTTTTCATCGGCAACCATATTATCACTATGAGTTTCCCAGTTGTCTCGAAATTCATGTTGACTTTCGCCTTGATCATCTTCTGAAATTGAATCTTCTTCACCTGAATACACTTCACATGCTTGTTGAATTATTTTTAACTCTCTTACTGACCGTATACATATTCAAGGTTACAGTGATACCGCAGGCCAATTGTATGTATCATAAATTGTATACTAAAACTGCCGAGTAGTCACTTGAGAAGCGTATGGGAATAGTTGGAAAAGTGCTAAAAAAACACATAAACTTCCAATGACCTTCCATGGTAGGTAAAGAATTTTTGTCAGTAAAATATTAGCTGCGAGAAAATCGGAAATTGGGAAATTTAATAATCGGTTCATATAATTTTTACAGAAAGTGAAATGATCGACAGAAGTGAGTATAGATGTACGAAGATAAAGTCAAATTTCAAAAGGGGTCATTTGACTCCGATTGGAACGTTTAGCGTTATGCATTTTTTTTCTCGAAGGTACAATTTCCGCAAACGTATTTCTTGCGTTTGAAAAGGATTTTCGTAGTTTTGTTGCTTGTGGAACCCTTTCTGTTGATGTTTTCTTTTTATTTGGAATTAGAGCCCACAAATTTCTTAGGAAATTGTAGTATTGGACGAAATTTCAGTGCAACCTTCCCATTATAACAATTTCAAACGATAGTACCTCTTCACTGAATTTGGAATTCTCTTCCTCTAAGTACAAGTAATTTATATTTTTGAAATAAGAATTTTTAGTAATGCAATAGGAATTACTTATTCCCAAACATAGTGAAATTGGTTATTTGTCTGTACAAGCACCAACATTATCACACCAGGCTAGAAATTCAAATCAAAACAGAATCTTTGCAATTATCATAATTTTATTTTCAAGAAATTTTAACAGAAAGTTTAAAATGTGTGATTTGATCCGTCTCGATAGATTTAGTGTTAAATAAGAATAATTTATCTAAAACCCGACCGAAATATCTACTTTTGTAACGTTATTTGCTTGATATAATCAAAGTACTATGTTTGATTCGCAATATTCCCCGTTAGTTGGTTCTTGTGCATAATTTTTTTAAATTTAGCTAGAAATATAATATTACATAGTTTTCTTAAAAAATATTCTAATGAAAAGCAGAACTGCATAACTTGCAATCAGTTTAGGCCCAATCTATGCACAGTGTTGAAAACCCTAAAATCAGAACGTACAATGACACACACGCTATAATGCCACGCAGCAAGAACATAATGCTAATGAGCTCTCCCGAAAGTGACCCGCGAGGCAGCGTACCTGCTGGAATGGCTCATTACAAAAATACTTTTAAATTGTCTTCTTCCTCCTCTTATGCGATTATAGCTAAATTAAAAACAGCGGGATATTCGTTTCTTTTTTTATTTGGGCAACGATAATTAGAAGTACCTTTCAGTCCTTTTTTCACCTGATCCTTCCAATGAAGAAAACTAATTCTTCGAATTACGGTCCCTATTCGGCAAGGAATGTCATGACTTACTTTGTATTTCTGACATGAATAAAAAGCTCCTCTTAAAAATCCATTTGCTGTTTGGAGGAGGCTTAGATTAAACCGTAGGTCCCTCCATTTGATAGAAAACAGCAAAACACAAACGACAAACTGGCGACGGAGCTCGGAGAAAAATCTCTTCAGCGGTTACCAAGTGCTAATTATATACTCCTCCAATTTGTTGTTTAACGCTTGATGTTTTTCTAACAAATTGAGGGACCTACAGTTAATACTAAGCCGTCTCCGAAGGGTTTTTGGTTTTTTATGAGTTGAGTTTTTGTTTACAAATTTTAATATTCCGTAATTTTGGATATTAGACAGACCAGGACTCGAACCCTGGCCTTCTGAAAAACAGTATGCCAAATATTCGGCTATCGTGGCCGCGTAATTAGTAAGGTAGCAAAAAATAAAAAATTCGCCAAAAAAGTAAAAAGCAAAAAAATTAAGCTCAATTTTTATTTACATACATGCGTACATTTGTATTTATCATACATATTTACATTTTATGTTTAGATTTCCTTTGTTGAATTACTATAAAAAAATATTTGTTCTTTTAACAAAGTTGGTTATTAAGAGGAATGATTTGGCTGGAGGAACTGAGAGGTGAGAAATTGGGTTTGTGTTAGTAAAAATTCATTCTCTTGGGGTGACATATAGTGGGCGGCTCAGAAGAAAGTGGTGAACTGTGACTATGGCATTTGCGCTACAAGTACAGTACGTAGGGGTTGAGTTGTTCATGAGATGGTCATGCGTTAGTTTGGTGTGTCTTAGTCTAAGGCGTTTACGAGAAAACTTGGGTTGCAGGAGCAGGAAACCTTGACAAACGGTGTAAAAATTTTCGAAAGAAAATCGGAGAAATTTCTCGAGAATATTTACTATTGGTCTGATTGCTTTTTATGTCGGCTATGGAATTAATGCGGAAAGTGAGTCTGAAAATATAGCAAAACATTTTTCTTTGTGTTTTACTAGGTTTAATGTCTCAGATATGACAGTCATTTCGGATGAGCACATTAAACTATAGCATGGAATAATTTATGTTTTGACAATTTCATTACCTGAGGTTATGCTGCATGATTTGCTGTGATTGGTTTTGGATCCATCACTATAAATGAATGTGTAGTTAAGGTAGGTAGGTATTTTACGATGTTGAACTGGAGGGCCAAAGGGAAAATATGTGAAAATAATACTTAAAGGTGTGTTTGTGCCTGTGCTTGTGTTTTTTTATAGTACGACACATTGCCAATTGTGTTTTCGGCATATATGAATATATCGATTTTTTGATGGCGATAAGTTGCTCCTGAATTGTCGCACCAAGTTGAAATATTTTGGGATAGCTTATTAAGGTCAATCACATGGCACTTTTCTATTTTTTAACCTAATTATAATATTGATATCATCTGCATATGCGCAAAAGTCACTTTCCTTGCAAAAAGAAAGTACGGAGCTTAATTTGTCATATGCAAATAAGTATAAAATGACAGATAAAGGTGATCTCTAAGGAATACCGTTGCATATATTGTGCCATAAACTTATAGTTTGACATAAAATTAGGCATATACATAGTTAATTGGGGCCTACTTTCCATTTCACTTATTGGTCTATTTGCAAGATAACCTAGCAGTAATAGAGTATCCGCTGTAAATTATTCTTTCTTAAAGCCGGCTGTTCAGAAATTTGTTTTTTCTCACACGCAGAGCCGATTTGCTATTATTCGATCAAGAACTTTATAGGCCGTTTCTACCAAGCGTAGACACTGTGTTTGCATATTTTGAGTTTACGAGAACTGTCAAGTGCTTCTCCTGGGTGTTTAATGAGTTTAGTGTTTGAACCGTCATTTATTTTTGTTTACTATATATCTATGTATATAATTGGTGCGTTGTAACCGCTGAAGCGATTTTCGGCCGAGCTCCTACTCAAATTTGTGGTTTTGTTTCTTGATGTTTTTTCCATCAAATAGAGGATTTAGCATAATTTTTTATTTAAATTTATTTTCTATAACTTTTACGATGTTGGTACGACACCAGTATTTGAACCCAGGCTTTCCGAATGCCAGTACGCTTTGCCAACCACGGGCGCCACATTACGCATCTCACACAATCACACAATACTAACAGTAGGTCAAACAGTGCTGCCATATATTGATAAGAAGGAAATAACAAAAAAAAAAAAAAATACGTAAAATGATCATTGTTTGCCAGTCGTAAATAAAGAAAAACATGCAAACTCAACTTACGCACGCTGCGAAAAGTGTTTTTGAGGTTAGTTTTTGTTATGAGATATTATATATATGGATTCTAACAGGTGTGACAGGAGCACAAGCTTTGGATACGCTCTTTTCGTATGATGGAGTGAGTTATTCTGTCTATTTTTT